ACTTAATGTATTAAAGTGCAACATAAGAACAATGTATTTAGAAAGATCAACTTGTGAAATTAACCTCGAGGTAGAGAAGTTCTTCAACCTTTGTCTCACATTGGATCAAGGCTAAGTAAAAGTACTTCTGTTTCAACCTGTACAAAAGAATATAATCCAACTCTATTATGTTCAATAGAAGATAAATGAATGATTATAAAAACATTCAATCTCATAGAACAAAACCTGCAAGTATAACTTTAACATACACAAAAATTAAGTTTCTAACAATGGATGTATCTAGCTTATAAAAAAGGTGGAATTAACTAACATAGGTGGTACAACCAAGACTTTATTCAAAGTTTCCACAGATAGCCAAAATCAAAACCATACAAAAATTAAATCCCACCTCTCATCTTGCTTCCTCTACCTTGAACCACTCAAAAATCCTCTTAAGAGGAAAAACAAAAAGGGAACCATACCAAACGGAGATCGGAGTCTAAGACACACCAATATGATTGTTAACCATATTGACAGAAATGAACAATACAAAAATTACCAATAACAAATAGAATGAAGGTTCTTCAGCCTCCCAGAGACGCTTTCCGCCAGAAACAGAAGCTGTTTTCCATTCATAGCTGAGGCTTGTATTCTGAAGAACAAATTAATTGAAAATGACCAATGACCTATAAATTCAAGAGGCATATATATATATATATATATATGCTAGAATTCATCACATAAACCATATAGCAATGAAAATCCCCAAATTTCTTGGCATGAGAATAAGAAAAACATGACTAAATAATTCAAAGAAAGATCAGATGAAGCAAATTATAAGAATGAGCTTCACTTTCTGGAAATTCATCAAATTTGTTCATAATAAGCCATAAACTTAAAATAAGAAAAAGAAAGAAAAGCAAAATGGATTCAACAATTACCTGCTCAAGGTTCAACTTCGTTGATTTCTCTTTTTCCTTTTAGATTTTGCAACATAACCAACATTGCATTTTTCCTATTCCACTGATAATAATACAAAGAGCAGAAAAAACCTTTTATTTCATTTTTTTACCTTAACATAGTAAGATCCGCCTTGTTCTCCCTAAGAAATGAAATGGAATCCTTGAAATTCTCTCTTGTAGGTAGATAGTCACTACTGTGAGGCCAAATTGCCTGTTGAAGTAACAAAAGTTAAAGACCATCATTAGGAAAATTTTCAACTAGAAAAGAGCACGAAATTACTAAACCAAGCCAATTTTAAGAATTTAACATCAGTTCTAACTTTAACAATATTCAAGAAATGGGAGACATCTTAGCAATAATTGTGTGAATTTGTTAAAGCCTGAAGATAAGAATAGAAGTGCATATAAAATATTAGCTAGAAGATTGATGAAATATTTCACCCTGTTTTCTTATTAATATACCAATGTTGATTTCTTATTAAACAAATAGACCTACTTACACAGTAGGACGTCAAACTGAAGAAACATAAATATATAAATACATATGTATATATACATAAAAAAACAACTGAATAGTCAAAAAAACTTCTTCATTCAATTGCATACTATTTGTAATATTACATAAAGGAGATCAATTTAACACTTAGGAGGCAGCTAAAACAGAAACACTGGTCTGGCCACCTTGTATACGGACCAGCAATGGTAAACCCAGCATACAAACTTGATTTTTTTTCTTATTAATATACTAAAATAGCATAACTAAAAAGTTAAACACCTAAATTTTATACGAGAGAGATATAAGTGAAGTTTACAAAAAATTCTAAAACTCATATGGCTCCAAAAGAAATGAAAAACAATACATAAAATTACCTATAGTAAACTGAGTATGTGTTCTAGAGAATAATGGGTTCCAGGAACAGATTCAAGACATGTGAACTCAATTGACCTCGAATTTGGATCATCAGATAGGCAACCATTCACAGAACAGTGGTTCTGATTAAGTTGCTTGTGGATGACATTCCTTCGTATCAGCCTTGTTTCTCGTTTTACCTTTTGGATCCCTGTAATAACAGGACCGTGTAAACAATTAAAAAGTGAAGCATAAAATGTCTAAAAACACAAGCAAACTAGACAAATGAGGAACAGAACAGAAACAGATGAGAATTACAGTGAAGAACTAACATAACATGACACAATATGATCCAAAAAGAAAAGCTATAATAGAATTTTCACCTACCAATGACACTATCAAATGCCCCTAATTTTACTAAATTCTACAAACCCAAATCATTATGAGCTTTCCATTTCCGAGCCATGAACAATAAAAAATGGCAAAACAAAAGCACTATCAGCCCCATAGTGGGCTGGCAATGCGCATCAAACACTAGGCTCATGTCAAGGTTCAAGTCCCCATTGGACAGTTGTAATATTCTCCTTCCCAAAAATTCCCCCTTGTTCAAAAAACCCAAAAAATTCCCCCTGTTCAAAAAAAGAAAAGAAAAGAAAGAAAGAGTACCGGCATGGATACGATCATGGGGACGGCCGGATTAGATGAGGACTTCTAGGTCGACAAGGCCCAGAGACATAGACCTAGTGTGACGTGTCAAACCAACCCTCAACCCAGCAAAGGCAACCAGCCCCACTATTCCCAGCACGTAGAGGAAGAATTCAGTCCAACGGCGCTTCAGGTCCGTCGCCATCATGTATATTCCCATGGGTATGGCTCGCATACACTGGATTCTGTAGATGAGATCATCGAAGAACAAAGGGGCAGCTAGAGAGGAAAAGAGAGATTTGATGGGAGAGATGGGAAAAGGAGGTTAAATGAGTAATTGAATGCCGAAAAGACAGATGTAGCGTGAAAAGGAGTGTTTGAACCGGATGAGATCCATTTCAAGGTTTTTAAAAAAGTTTTAAAAGGGAATTTATTAAGTTTATAATGTGAAGACAGAATATGAAGTATGAACACAGAATAAAAATTTTTTTTTATTCTGTTTCAAAATATCTTTCAGATTAGAGCTGGCGTGAAGGCGAAGACTTCTAGAACACGCGATAAGAAGTTTGAACGCATGACTGACTCGCGCAAAAGTACAGTGCAGGATGTTTCCTTCTTACTTCTATGACAGTGCACAGAAGTTTCCTTCTTACTTCTATGATACGGTATTATCTGTTAAATTGATCAAAAAAATCTTCTACCAAAGCTCATTTCTTTTCTGATCAAATCAATTTAATTTTTATCTTGTGTGATTTCTTCTTTGCAATATTGTTTGCTGCAACCTACAAAAGATGATGAATCCATCTGACGTTCTGAAGAAGCATCTCCACCAAGACGCGAAGAATGGTTCACCATTAGCCATTCTCTTCGCTCAGATTGTTCTGTTTATTGCAACAATTTTTGTGTGGAGAACCAGGCTATACGCAGAACATGATCGCACCGGTTTCAAAACGGCTTTGTCTTACCAAATCTTGGCCATTCTGGTATCTAATTCGAATCGTTTGAGTCGTCCTCCTGGATCCAACCCTCGTCCTCCTGGATCCAACCCTCGTCCTCCTGGATCCAACCCTCGTCCTCCTGGATCCAACCCTAGTCCTCCTGGATCCAACCCTAGTCCTCCTGGATCCAACCGTCACAAGGTAAATCTTATTGAAAATGTCATCTGCTTGATTTTAACTCCTGTTTTTGAGAAATTTTATGAGAAATCCTTGAGTAGTCTGGGTTTTGCCTTGAGCATCACTGTTTTATTTCTAATCCTACTGGTCATAATCCGACCCTCCACGGACCTGGGGTTGTTCGGTTTTCTAATTGGAGTCATTGGATCGGTTGCGTGCAATCTCTTCGGACTCAACTTTCAAATTTGGATAGTTATGGTCATCTGTTTTCTGCTAGTGGGTTTTAGGATCTGGCTAGACTGGAAGTGGTTGGAGGTAGGACAAGATCAGTTACCTGTCACTGGTAGGAGTGCAGAGGAAGGGGTACCAGAGGAAGAAACCAAATTTTCAATGATTTCAAAGATTATTGAGCTGTTAACGGAGTTAACGGTGGTGGGTTTCCAGGTACCAAAGGAAAAAACCAAATTTTTAAAGATTATTGAGGTGTTAACGGAGTTAACGGTGGTGGGTTTCCACCTCTTTTGGGTTTCCATTTTGTTTAGAACCAATTGTCAAGCAATGCACAAATCCATATCTTGCTCCTCAAGTTCTGTAATGGTTATGCTAGCAAGTTTGGTTATTTTTAATTTGTGGTTCGGGTATAAGCTTATTTCTCGTGTATATTCTCTGTTGCTGATTGTCCTGCTAGTCGTGGGAGTTGGATGCCTGCACAAGCGGGAAAAGAAGCCCAGAAAAAAGAACAGAAAGACGAAGATGGGCTAACGCACGCATGCCACACTTATCGTAAAGGCCGTGCCTATCAGGTTTATGTGCCTGCACATATATATTGTACTCTAGCATCTTGTTTCTCTTCGTTATGGGATCTTATACGCAACTCTCAACTCCACGGGAACTTATACTTCAACACTATCCTCATACAAGGCCGCGGATTGGGTAGTTGTTCATAGCAGAAAGTAGGAATGCCCTTTGAATTGGATTCGAGTTACCCCATTGAATCTGGTTGTCATTCTTGACAAGGATGGGCTGCCTGCACAACCTTCTATGTGGTCAAGCATTTTTTGTTTTGTAGTTCTGTGTTTGTACTGTGTTTCTGATGTGGTTGCTGTATTTGATTTTCACATATGCGTCTTTTGTTGGTTTAAAGCCAATTGTCGTCCCTCTACTTTAATATTTTATTCGTTCTTGTCCCTCTACTAAGGACATGTTCGTTGTCGTCCCTCTACTCTACCAAAGAGCCAAAACGTCGTCCCTCTACTTTGTTTTTTTTGTTTGTTGTCGTCCCTCCCCTAACACCGTTAATGTTGCCATCACTGCTGACCGTTAAGTCTTAAACGGTCAGCAGTTAAACCCATATATTCTTTTTTTTTT